TAAAATGGAAAACAACACACTTTTAGGCCAGTGGTCATTACACTATCCTTGATCAGTGTGTTAGTCACAGCTCAAGTTTTAGCTGCTGTTATAGCGACAAACTGCAGTAAAAATTAGATTTTATGTTGATAGTCCTGAATTGGCTGTTACATACTCTTACTGCCACAGCTGAATCTCAGTTGACCAGAGGACAGTTCCGGATTGTCTCTTGTATTAGAAACCTTATATTAACAAAACTGGATTTTCGAGGCAAATGCCATTGTAGTAGAGTGGGCACACCATATACTGAGGCTGTTGTCTTTGTCACAGTCATCTGGGCTTACCTAACCTGGCATGAGCCAAGTTGGTATGTGAAGTTCAAATCAAATTCTACACAGGATCCATACGGAGAGGCTCCTATGGAAAGTGTTCTCAATGCAGTATAATTCTTTGAGCTGACTGGGTAAATCACCAAGTAGCATGTCTCCATGTCAAACTTTTAGCCAATCACAGTAGCAGCTGTGACATATCACATTCATAATTTAGTACAACCATAAACCGATAAATCAAACTCTTACCGAATCTGGTCGAGAGAAACGCACAAACATCTTTACCATTAGCAAAAGCGCAAATCACATTCTTTTGCATGTTTTTCAAAAAAGAAATGGAGGGTATTCCATCTACAACTAGCACAACCATGTTTGTTTTGTCTCAGCCAGTCATGCTCATCACTATATTATATTGGTTCGAAGATTTTTCTGTTAGCAAGATGTATTACTGGGGGTTTGTGAATTCACAAATCTCGCAACAGATCATAATGCTTGCAAGGTAAGGAATTACCGTTTGTGTCGGCTAATTCTGCTGAGAAATAAGAGGTGACGTTAAACATCAAATGTCAGAAAAAAAGCTCAGTAATAGCTGTTAGATGTTAAACTTAGAATAAAAAAAGACTATGTAGTACATGAGCAATCTTCCAATGAATATTAGAAATAATTCACTAAGCTATTGTATGCACTTCCGTGGAACCAAAATAGAGCATCATACAGGCTCAATATTTGAAAAGCCCACCCCTTAAGGGCATGCAGGACAACCACAAGGCAGTTTGGTGCTACTTCAACTAAGAGAGAGTCAAAGTGGGCTGTAGCTGCACATCTATTACGGAACACAACAAAAGATGAACTATAACATGACAGTAACATCCTCTGTCTTGGCAAAGAAAAGTTTAAGAGATGCTGTTCTGATAAGTGTTTCAATACTGAAACATAAGGAGATAAAGAGGCAACTGAAGAGAGCGGGGGTGGAGGGTGCATGTTTTCTTTCACAGCCCAGAGCAGCATCCAGAGAGCAGCCTTGGCAGCAATCCATGTGTCCCTTGGCGTGAGCACTGCAATCACATTACATTTCCCCCTCTCCACTGGATTGCCGTGTGCCCAGCCGACGCTCCCATCCAGGACATGTCGAGTCCACTTTAGACGCTAGGCTCTCTGGCTTGAGCTAATACAGACTTCAGAGTCTATAATTATGTAAATAATTCAAGTCCGCTTTAAACAAATGAGTAAACAGAATGGTGCATGAGTTTGCCGAGATACTGATAAGAAGATGCATTTGCAATTCTGCACGGCTACTGTAAAATGGGGTTGACTAACGGATAGAAGATTGTAGAGATTTCTGTTTCACATTCAAATTTTCACACCATTTCAAAGTGCTGCAAGCAATGCAAAACTGAGCTGCACATCCGTGTACAGAAAACATGTTGAAATAGAAATATTAGGAAATGTGTTTAGTTTGTTTTTGCTAACACTAACAGCCACAGTGAAAGTGACATGAGCCACACACTGTGTTGATCCTGTACGAATAAATTTCATGAATGACTAACTCCTGTTTAGTAGCACACTCCCATTGGCGCTAGGCTTCCCCCACTAGCCCCCGAGTCCCGACCCGATTTCTTTTGAGAAATGGCATTGGTAGTTAAGACAAACAGAGGATCACAAAGTCATGTGTTGTGTTGGCCTTGCAAAAATATTTAAAGACTGGAGTGGAAACTGACTTTTTGTGGCATAACAACAGGAATGTTTACTATACAACCAGAAATGTAGATGTAAATGTATTTGATGTTAGAATGCATTCTTCTTCCCTATCCTTCATTATTACTCATGTCACTTTGCATATTACAGTCCCGAATTCTGCCAAGTATACTTATTAAACTTTAAATGTATTAACAGTATTAAAACCATTAAACATCTTAAAGCAAGGGCAGATTCATGGGGGGTGCTGCTGTAAAACTTTGCTACTCCAATTGCCCACCTACTTGTATGTCCTTAAAATACCTTTTTTTCATCGCTAGTTGCTTAATTGTCTGAAGGCCTCCTACAGCCTTCAAATTAAAAATGAATTACAAAAAAATATAAAATTATAGATGTAAAGCTTGTAAAAACCCTTTGCTCTACTGTGGCAGATAATAGTTTGAGTAGTCTGTGTGTCCTTTCCAGATTGATAGATTAGGATCTCTTGGTGAGACACTGTCCTGCCAAACACAGTTAATGTCTTAAGCTCTCCTTTAGGTGATGGCTGAAATCAGCCCAGTAATGCAGTTTTAGTTTTTCCTTTTTCTTTCTAAATTTGTGTTCTAAATTTTTAAGTTGAATTTCTTTCTTAGTAGATAGAATAGATATTTTTTCTGGACATTTTGTTGACTTCATTTGTCTATAAGATACTTTTTATGTGCTTTAATGAAGTCTTTTGCACCCCCTTTGCCCCCCATGTAAGATTGTCAGATAGCCCACTGTCTCTGTGTCTCACAATGCTTTTCTTCAGTATAGACTTTGAAACAGGCGATAAAGAGATGGAACCGAGTAGAGTTTGGGATAATCCTATGACAAAATAGTCAGAGGCTGCAAATAGGCTGCAAATGGAATGAGCCTGAGGTTTAACCCAGGTAAAACAACACTGATTAGTGATGCAGTGTTTGCTTAAGAATAGTCCAGTCAAAGTCTAAACTTATGTCCAATTTTATTTAAAAACCCTACGCAAGCTGACCGAACAATAGGTCAATGATGAAAATGTTTAGTCTAAAAACTTAACCTTTTAGATCTCTATTTGTAAAACACTTTACAACCTTTGACTTTAAGCCTAGCATTCACTTACAATGACATTTCTGCTTGGAACATGGCGAAGTGTGAAAAGGTTTAAGGCATAGGAATGTCTCTTAGTTATAGTTTAACACGCATTGTGCAAGAGACAATTCTGTAAAATGGATATGACTTTTTCTTAGTCTTGAGACTTTCTCTCTCACAAGGGTCCAAAAGGAGAGCTTTGGACAACAGTTTAAAGGTCCCTTCACAAAGAGAGAGCTGTGGCCACGTTGTCACAAGCATTGATTGGTTGTGGCATATGCAGAGAAAAAATTGCCAGCCATCTTTTCATTATTTCTGTGGAACCCCTGAGGAGAGAGGGCATGAAGATGGACTCGAGCTCGCAAAGCGTAATTAAACTTCCACTGCTGGGTCATCTGCTGTTAAATGCTTTTGCCACAACTTCTAATTACTTAACAGGGCGATCTAAATGATGTGCTGTCACTGGGAAAACTAATTGGTATTTGGTAAGGGCAATATGGCAGCATTGTCTTCTACATGTGTCACTGTCTCACTGGAAGGATGAGGGGGCTTTGCATTATCTGACCCTGATTAAGAACATAGAGCAAATTAGGTGCATAACAGCTCTGGTTTATCAGACTGTTACAGAGCATTCATACAGCATGCAATTTCACAACTTCCTGATGTTTTTGACATTTGGATGCATATGTTGGACAGCAGCACCGCAAGAGCTATTTTTGGTAATTTGAATGTGTCCTACATTTATGGGAAAAAGTATTAAGGAAAGAGTCCTTCATAAACCATGAAGCTGAACTTTTAAAGAGGTGCCTAGCAGTGCACAACATACCATTTCGAACTAACAAAGAGCTAATATCATTGCTGGAATAGCTTTTTGCAAATGCAGCTGCCACACTATCATTTTGATTCAAACCAGGGGAAACCGCTTAATGTGCTTCAGGTAAATTCCAAATACAATATGTTGCATATTCAAAGTAGAACTAAGAAAAGTAAAAAAGTTATGTCTGATTAAAATATTCTAGAGAAGCCTTTCTTCCGGTGTATGTTTTTTCCCTTGTTTCCATTCATTCTGGGAGCTATGCATGATTTCTGCAGATAACCTTTAAACAGGACACCAGCCAATAACAGCACACATTTCAGGAAAATATAAAAGAAGGAGTAGAACACCAGCAGCTAATCACACTGCTGTGTTTGGTGTTTGGAGACACATCTTGATTGACTTACAAAAATACATACAGTGATGTACGTAGATGTAGGCACTTTCACCAATGATGCCCTTTTCTGGTTAAAGCTGAAGTCTGTGTTGTTAAAAATCACTTTTTTGTCATATTGGCTAAAACTGTCCCAATGCCCAGACAGCAGTACATGTGATATGTAACCTGTGAAAAAAACTGCTTCAATTGGTACCACCTACTGCCTGTATTTCAATCTGGAAAGAATAATTCGGGACGAGTCAAAACAACCAATCACAGCCAGAGGAGCGTCTGATGGAGTGTCAATCACAGCTCACACACGCTGAATCCTGCCCCCCCCCTCCCTTCTGGTCACATGCGGTAGCCGCGCAGATGCTGTCAGAGGGGTGGAGCTTGGAGGTGGGGAATGAGTGAAGCAGAGAGGGTGGGGGAGTGGCGTGAAACCTGTTTTTCTTCAAATTTTCAGTCGAAGTCTGCTCTCTCCTCAATGTTACAGACTGCAGCTTTAACAACTGCAAATAAGCTTTCCTTTCTTTTTTCTGTTTTAAGACTTCATTCTGACATATTGCAGCTTGTTGGAGAGGGTCAATTGTGAATGCAGACTTGATTAACAGTGATAAAAAGCACCTCAGGATGCACTGAAGCTCAAGAGAAGCAGTGTGTGGTTGCAGGTGACCTTTTAGTTTTTGTTTCAGGAGGGAGCAACACATCAGCTTACCCCCAAAGTAGGATCCATCTGAAAGCTTGGTCTCTTTGCTGCCTTTGGTGAGGACACTCACAACCCCATGTTGAATGAAGTACATCTTCTTGCCAATAGTTCCCTCCCTGATGATGTAATCTCCAGGCTGGAACACCTCAAACCTCAACTTGGTAAGCATGGAAGTCACAAAATTGGGGTCGGCATTGGCAAACAGTGGCATCGAGGCCACCAGCTTTCGACAGTTGAAGTTGATGATTTCCTGTGTGGAGGTACAAAGGTATATTGAAAACAAATGCAAAAACACCAGATCAGTGAAGGCTATTTGAAATTGCTTTGTCATGTCAAAAGTGTTTGACAGAATAAATATTGCAGCAAGAAAAATGTCAGCTTTGCACATGCATAGCCTTGCTATGATTTCACATAACAACCACAAACTTAAATGTACTGGGATTTTATGTCATGACACAAGGTCATTCAGAAGCAAAAGATAAAGGATACAGGGTTTTCAATAGGATAGGAAACCTGTATGAAAACTTCCAAATATCGGAAAATATTTTGGATCTTGTCGTTTAAACCCATCTCTCCGCAGTTATATAGAGTGGAAACACTCCTCAACCTGCCTTACTTTGGATGTTCAGTCGTGTCTTGGTGAATTTGTAGTTTTCTTATACAATTTTCTCTTTTAGATGAGGTAATAACTGGTGCTCCTTATAATGTTTTAAAGTTGTTTCTTAACCTTATGCCATTTTAAGGCTATCCACGACTTCATTTCTAAGCTTTCTGTTTTTTTCCTTTGTTTTACCGAAGTTGATTTTTGAGGCCTTCTTCAGAGGTTTGTTAAAAAAAAAAAAAAACTAGAAAACAGAGGTTTTGTTCATAATACAATCAATTTATAGTGAGCTACATTTTAAAGGTGTCAGGCTAAAGGGTGTTGAACAAAAATGCATACCATATTTTTTTAGATCTTTGCTTTTGAAATAAGCATTGTTTTTATTTAAGATTAAGGGTTATACAGTAGTGTGTGTCAGTATATCATAAGAATAAAAACATTTGTGACTAAAGTGAAAAATGTGGTAATACTTTTGAAAACGACTCCATCTGCATTAGCATATGCATACAGTAGCTTAAAAAAAAAAAAAGGCTTTCATCCAATTCAGTGATCATGGGAAAAATCCCAAACATTTGAGCTTAGCGAAGGAGTCTTTAAAACTTAAAAATAGTTTTTGACTATATTATACTTGTACATGTAACAAAGCCAAACAGAAACCGCCACCTCACCTCACGAAGCGGCTCATTGAGCTCTCCCAGGATGCTCTCCTCATCGAACATCTTCCCCTGGTAGCGGTGCTCGTAGTAGTCGTGGATTCTCTGTCTCATTTCTGCAGGAAGCTTGTGGAAGGACATGTACTGCTCGACCTGTTTGTACTGCAGGGACACAGAAACACACAGTGGCCAGATTACCCAAGGACCCAAATGTACCATTGCAAAGTTCAGTATCCTTGAGGTTAAAAAAGAGATGAATTTATGAATACTTTTGTAGAATATGACCAGAGCTCTTTGAGTTTTCCCTTTTCTCTAAAACAGGCCAACTCATTCCTTACAGAAAAAGATCCACTGAGAGGCATGAAAGAGGTTTATAATGTGCAATGACGTCAATGCTACTTCAAAACATGAATGAGCATCATCTATAAATATGCCCTTAATGTTATGAAGTAGTTTTTCTCATCGAAAATATTGTGTTAATCTGTCTATTCCTGTGTAGAAAAATGCAAACAAAAAAGTAAAATGTGTCAAAATTCTTTGATTGACTTCAAGCATTTAAAACTGATGCAGATCAAAGCAAAGAACAAGCCTCTGGGGAATAATAAGAGGCAAAGTTCTTGACCCTCAGAGAATAAAAGACAAGAAACAAGAAGAGAGAAAAATGCATTAACCATACAAGGTGCACTGTTACAGGCTATTCTTTGATCATGTCCAAGTCTTACCACTGAATGCTGCATTTGACCTCAGTAGTCTACTTCTGTGTTGTCTAACACTTTTTTCCTAGTCACCACTGATGTTGGAGGAAATCATCAAAAGGGAAGCCTTGTGCAGATATAGCACAGTAAAATAGGACAGCTGTCTCATGAAAGTCAGCTTGTTTTTAAGGAAACAAGAATATTTTCTGTCTGGAAATCAGCAAAAATACAATACCATGTCAAGCACATAGAAAGTCTACGGGCAAACATGAGTAATGAATTTTACCCTGACACTGACCTTCTGATACGTGGCTGGTTTTGTACTCTTTATTTCTACATGAGACCTTTTTAAATCCTCCAACACTTACACTCTAAATTTGTAAAATTTAAATGTGATTTTATGAGTCTGCATTAAACCAGAGCCTTTGAGTCCCTGGCAGACAGAGAAAACAATCTGGAGTCACTCTGTGCATACTGATGATGCAGTCCCCTAAACGTATCACTCAAATCGCAACAAGCCCCAAATGTACCGATGAGGCACGAAACACAGCAGATGAAGCACAATGATTACAACCTATTTTTACAAATGGTAGTTTTTTTAAAAAGCTCATTGTTTATTATTTATAATGCCTTTAGTGGCATCACAGAAAATGACACAATCTCATTTGTTTAAGGGTAGTGATTCTGTTCTGTCGTGTTGGCAGTTTAAGACTTTTCCTCACAACAAGTTATCACTAGCTTATTAAATGCTGCTTTCCCAAATAAAGTACATTTTCCTCTTCTACTCCCTTATATTGCAAACTCTGTATAACAAATATAGACATAAATCAATCTAGTCCCTCATTTGTTGAACGGTATGTGGAAGGGAGCTTCCAAACCTGTGATCCTATTGGTCAGATGCACTAAGTATTTATAAGCCACTGGTGTCAAACCAATTGCTGTTTTAGTTTCATGAGAGAGAGGTACTGATCCAGTAGTGTTTGTTTGGTCATTAATGAATAAATTAATATATGATTTTATTTTATACCATTTAATAAAATTACAAGTTGAAAACATACAAACAACATATATATTAAATAATAGGTATAATTTAGTGTTTATGTCTAAAAAGGGGTATGAAGAATCTTCCTGATTCCTAGATTACTTGAGTCAACACCGCTCACAAATTCCATTAAGTGAGCCAATAAATGAATTTATGTAAATATAAAATTAAATATAAACATTCACATCCTCCTTCATACAATTATTACTCATAGGCCAAACAACCATAACCATTGCAAAAATATGCTTACACCCAGATATATTGACTAAGTGTACACATTAATATTCACTGCCCTTCCTCCACCTTATAACTTTTAAATGAAACCAGTTAGTTTTTTTTATGTTTTGTTTTTTAAAGCAGTCTTATTCTTGGATATTGCTTTATTTCAACTGTGGGCTTTTTCCCAAACTTACCACACATTTATTTCATGTTTGTTCAAGCAAATAAGATTTTAGATTACCCTTGTAACTGTGCCCTCCCTCTCTCTCTCAACAAAAAAAAAGATTTTGTATGCCGTCTGGTAGTTGGTTATTTCTAGCATTATATAGTAATTCTAAGATTTGAAATTCTACCAGATCAGAGAATTTAAGTGGGCAGAAGTGAATGAGTAATTAATGAGTGGGATCAAGATAGTCATCCTTTTGATATATCCTGATGGCTCTTTTCTGCAGTGTGCATTCTGATGCTTTCTGATAATTTGGTCTGAACATGTTTGAAGTGAGGCTTCTACAGAACCCTGTAATCCTGAGGTATCTAACCTTGGTCCTCAAGATCTACAGTGCTGCAGGTTTTAGATGCATCTCTACTCCAACACAGCTGAATCAAATGAATGGCTTATTCCTACGCCTTTACCAGACTTGATGGCATGCTGAAGAGATAATTCAGTTATTTGAATTAGCTTTGGTGGAGCGGGGCTGCGTCTGGAATCTGCAGGACAGTAGATCTTAAGGAGCAGACTTAGAGACCCCTGTAGTACAGCAGTCCATAACCACACCAAAGAAGTTTCTTTCATCCTCTCCTTCTACCTCAAGCCAATCTAATTTGTCTTTCCCTTCAATATTTTCTTTATATCATGCAAATAAATTGAACTTTGTTTTCTCCAAAGTCAAGGGAAAAGCAGCTCTTGGTATCACCCAAATTCAGCTGTATACAAAATATGTGCATGAAGATCAAACAAATCAAACTAAAATACTTTTGAAACCTTACATCTGTCATTTCTGGAAAGCAGAGGTTGCTAACGTAGGGGCAGGGTTCCCCAAGGTGTTTATGAGAGACCAATTTGGGGGTCGCAAGTGGTTTTCACAGTCATTGTGATGCGATCTCTGAAATATATGGAGGTCCAAACATGTTTTGAAATACAAAATGTACCATAAAATAATTAGAAGGCACACTATAATTCTATTCTATTCTATTCTATCATATTGGCCTCAATCCACTTTTTTTATATTATCCAATCTAAATTGAACTTGCATTTTTCATAGCATAATATTGGTTTTTAAAAAATTCTATTATGTTTTTCTTGATTTCTACTACGTTCTCTTTTTGTAGATTTTGGAAAACAGAAATGCATCCATTTACCCTAAGCTCTGGAGCAAAGTATAGTTTGATTCTTCTAACATAAAAGGATAATAATCAAGTGAAAAAAAAGAATGCTTTTTCACTGCTATCACCATTTATTAAAGCTGTCTGCTATATGGTTCAACTCTAAGCCTCTCCAAACCATTTTATATATACTCAGCACTGTTGAGCCACTGAGGAAATCTGACAGCGATTCAAAGAGTCTGACCAGATGGGGTTTGTGCTGTGATGGACTGATAAAAGCCCCTTTGACAGGAAATTATCTTATTGCCATCATGCTTTTACCATGAAAATCCCTGCTCCAACATTTTACCCTTTTGAGATCCAGTTATGATAAATGTTTTTTGTGTGCACTCTGTGCAGTGGTCAGAGCTGCTGTCTTGGAGCAATTTGTTTCCACCTTGGGCTCTCTCCGTATAGAGTTGCATTTTCTTAACATAAATGTGTGGCTTTCTCTAGGTCATCTGGCTTTCTTTTTCCTTAGTCCAAAAATAATAATGCTAGGTCAATCAGTCTCTTTAAATTGCACTTTGGTATGCATGTGTACACGCATTGTTGCTTGTCCTGTATGCCCTTAGACTGGTGACCTCTCTAGGGTGCAATTTGCTTCTTCCCAAACGGCCACTGGGGGCAGGCATAATCCCCACTGCGACCCCTCATGGCATGTTGTTGCAAATAAATCCCGAATGGAGGTTATGAAGGTTGGTAAAAATGCAAAACAGCAGCTTTCATCCATCCACTTCACAAACACTGTATTTTAGTAACTTTCTCTGTAAGTATTTCCTCTAATCTTCAACCTACCTCTGAATATAAAGTAAGGAATCAGGTATTAAATGATCTCGGTAAACCACAAACCACAAAACAGGCCTGTTTTGATTAAGTTTTATGGGTTGACAAGACTGACGATTTTGGACAGGCAACTTGGTATAGTTCCCAGTACTGGACTGATTTAGGGTATTAGTTTGTCAAATGTCAATGTCAAATTTATTTATATGGCACTTTAAATACAGGTATAAAACTGCACCAAAGTGCTTTACAGGAAAGACAACAAGACCAATTAACAAAACTGAATGTGAAACACTGCTTCAATTAAAAGCCGAAGAATAAAAACAAGTTTTAAGAAGCGATTTAAAATGATCCAGGCTGTGGGCGGATTTAATTTAAAGAGGTAAATGGTTCCACAGAATTGGAGCAACAACAGAGAAGTTGATTCTATTTTCCTAACTCCTCCCAAAATTATGACCATAAAAGTCTTCCAACAGTTTTAAATATATCCGTCAAGTAAAAAGGGTCAAGTCAATAATAAATCATACAGATTTATTTAGAGATGATGAGACTGAATCAGCCTTCATTCCATCCTTAAAATAATTCCAGACAGCTTACTTTAACTACACCATTTTACAATACGTTTGTTTTAGTAAGAAAGATAGATTGTTTAGACTGTTGACTTTTCATTATTAACAAATTCTGACAGCAGCACTGAGCTCAAGAGAACTGCTGCTGATTTTTCAACCATTTTATAAGGCCATTATTTTCTTCAGTGCAACGTTCCTCCACATGGCTGCTTTAATGTCATTCATCCATTCAATTCATCTCAACCCTCAAACTCTTTCATCACACATTTTACTCCCCCCACTTCTTTTCCCTCTAAAGAATATTTCCGAGCAGATGCAAATTCCAACCAAATAAAATATTAATAATTAATTTCCCCAAAGACATGTAAGCCACTTAATTACACTTTCTAAACATGTATTTTTTTCCTATCTTTTCTCATCCACAAAAACTTTGGATCCATAGACAAAGGAACTAGATCCAACAAAACCCATCTTTAAAGATGTAAGTATTAT